GCCACACATGTATGGGAACTGCTGCAACAGAGTTGGGAAGAACTTTCTGAAGAATATTTGATTTCCATTGTAGAAAGAATGCCACGAGTGTGTTCAGCTGTTGTATCTGCCAAAGGTGGCTACATTGAGTCAAAAGTTTAGAGTACATTTTGGTTTATAAATTGATTCCATGATTTCTTTTTTAACTTCAATTGTTTATTTGTTCTATCATGTCTATGCTTTTATTCCAGAGTACATTGAGACATTAAACTGCATAATTTTCAATAAAAACTGGAAAAATTGGGGTGTTCTAAAACTTTTGACTGGTAGTGTACATCTTGGACTCTACAGGTCCATTTAGCAGGTTATATGTTAAAGTTTACGACAGCACAATTAAAAAAAAAGACTGAACAAGTATGGCTTGTTTGGGTGGGTTGCCAGGAGAAAGCCTCTTCTCCCAAAAAAGGACATGGCAGCACGGCTTAGGTTTGCTAAGTTGCATCTGAATAAACCACAAGCCTTCTGAAATAAAGTGCTTTGGACAGACAAGACCAAAGTGGAGTTTTTTGGCCCTAATGCACAATACCACATTTGGCACAAACCAAACACAGCGTAATTAGACAAATGCCTCATTCCAACTGTGAAGCATGGCGTTGGAGGGGTGATTTGGGCTTGTTTTGCAGCCACAGGACCTGGGCACCAAGCAGACATTGATTTGACCTTGACCTCTGAGTACTAAAGTATTCTAAAGTCAAATGTGAAACATCTGTACGACAGCTAAAGCTTGTGTGATCACAAGCACACCAGCAAGTAAATCTAAGACAGAATTGCTGGAAAAGAATCAAGGTGTTGCAATGGCTAAGTTAAAGTCCAGACCTCAATCCGATTGAAATGCTGTGGCAGGACCATAAGAGAGCTGTGCATAAACAAATGCCCTCAAACATCAATGAACTGAAGCAATGTTGTAAAGAAGAGTGGCCAAAATTCCTCCTCATGATGCGAGAGACTGATAAAATCATATCGAAAATGATCAGTTCAAGTTATTGCTGCTAAAGGTGGTTCTACAAGCCATTGAATCATGGGGTGTACTTAGTTTTTCACAGATGAATTGTGTATTTTTTCGCTGAATTTTGGTTTAATAGATAATGGCACATTGGAACACTAGACATGCTATGTTGCTCACAGATACGGGCCTTGAGCAGACAAGAAAAATCAAACCTCTGGTGGATACTTTGATTTCTGCCAAATAGGTGCCATCTCTGTGCACTGCCTCACAATGATAAAGTCCTTCATCTCCCGTTGAGAAAAGAGGGATGCGCAGGTAGCTTCTTCCCGTCTTGGTGATATTCATTACTTTCCCATCATTGCAGGAGTCATAGTCTTCCATATCAAAACCAGATGCTATTTTGCAGTGCCTCTTTGCAGTCTTCAGCTTCCAGATGATGTAAATCAGCTCATTCCAGGTCTTGTTGGTGCATGTCAGATGTACACTGCTTCCCAAATCATGAGTCTCATTTTTGAATTCTGAAAAATGAAGTTATTATTAAATACCTAATAAAATAATTCTAAAATACTTAATCAAGCAATTTCAGCAAGCTACCAAATAATTTCTTGTTATCATTCTCGAGACAGAATGATTGTAAAACACTGATTTATTTTATCCAGTAAAACCAGTGTGCTTTGAGAACATTTGGGAGGATTGTGTTCATTCCCTTGTGCGCTTACAATGTTTGCAAAGAGATAATGCACGCATTCTAAACAGTCTAAAACATAACCAACTGGCTTTGACTGATATGGTATGTTCAGCTTGAGAGTAGAAATACAATCATTTCTGTGTTCTATTGCAGTTTATATTTTGGGCTGAATTGGCTTATTGATTTATTAAGATCTCTTTTAGCTCATTAGCTGATCTTCCAAGAGTAGACATTAAAAACATTTCAGCATACGCTGACTCAAATTATTCACATACGGAATAATCCTGCATATTTAGCAGAATGAGGCGAACTATTTAAACATATTACCTGTCAACAATGATTCGATGGTCTTAGTGCCTGTAGATCTTGTTCGTATGCCGTAGTTCCCTGAATATTAAAGATGAGAGATAAACAGTTCAATTGCTTGTGTCCGCTTTATTCTGCAATTTATTTGTTAATGCAACAGTATAGGCTGTTTACTTTTTTATTTCAAGAAATAGTGCGGATATTCCCCCAATCTGTCTACAACCCCAACTAGGAAGAAGTTGGGACTGTATGAAAAATGAACATCCAAACAGACTCACATTTAATCTCAGGCAATATGGAGACAGGTTTATCTAATGTTTTGTGTGATCAACTTCATTTCATTTGTAAATATACTTACAACCGGGGCCTTACTGGCCAGCAAAGCATTCCTAAAAAGTTGGGAAGGGGGCAATTTAAGACAAGCAATGAGGTACAACATTTGAATGATGACATAATTTGAAACAGCTGTTGTCAGCATGTGATAGTAATCATGATTTGGTACAAAAGTAGTATCCAGGAAAGGCTTAGTCCTTCAGGAGCTGAGAAAGGTTGAGGAATGCCAATTTGCCTATGAATGTGTGAGAATATCATTGAAAGGACTAAAAACAATATTACTCAAAGAAAGGCAGGAAGAGATTTGGAAATGACACCCTCCACGGTACAGCACATAATTAAAAGATTGAAGGAATGTGGAGGAATTTCTGAGCGTAAAGGGCAAGGCCGCAAACCTAAGCTGAATACTCGCGATCTGCGATCAGATGGCACTGCATCAAGAACCATCTTTCATCTATAAGTGATGTGACCACATAGGCTCTGGACTACTTTGGGAAACCTTTCTGAAGTACCGCAATATGTAGTTACATCCATAAATGCCAGTTACAACTTTACTATGCAAAATGGAAGCCATATGTTTACAATTTCCGGAAGTCTCGTGGCTTCTCTGGGCTCAAAAGCATCTGCGATAGACCATCATACAGAGTAAATGTGCATTGCAGTTAGATGAATCAAGATTTCAGGCCTTTTTTTGGAAGAAATGAACAATGATTGCGCTGGACCAAAGAAGAAAAGGACTACCAGGACTGTTACCAGCAACAAGTCCGAAAACCATGCTCTGTCAAGTTATGGGGTCGTGTCAGTGCCCTTGGCAAGGGTACCTTGCACTGCTGTGAGGGCATCATTAATGCTGAAAAGTACACTGAGATTTTGGAGCAAGAATAGCTGCCATTTTGATGACATTTTCCAAAGGCCGCCCGTGCATATTTCAACAAGACAACACCTAACCGCATTCTGCACACCTTACAAAGCATAGCTATGTAAAAAGTGGGTGCAGGTCAGGACTGGCTTGCCTGCAGTCCAGCTTATCCCCAGAGGCCAAATGTAACAATGAAAACCTCGTACTCTTGCACACCTGAAGACTTGTTTGCAAAATAATGGGACAAAATTTACACCGGAAACACTTAATCACTTGGGATCTTCAGTCGCTAAGCATTAATTGTGTTGTGAAATGGAATGGCAACATTACAAAGTGGTGAATACTTTACTGTTCCACCCTTTTCTGTAATATGTAGCAAGAATCAAAATTAACATTACTGTTTATTGAAAAAAAAAAAAAAAAAAAAATTCATGGGGTAAGACATCAGATTATGAGCTGTTGCGTTCTTTTCAATGTAATGCAGGACAAATATTTACAATTTGTAGCCCCCGGATGAAGTCGGGCGGCTACTATGGATTCACGTGCGTCATCGCCGCCACCGCATCCACGTCCGTAGACACTTTCTTGTGGATGCTCTACAGGCTGTGATTTTTGACTGATTTCTTTCATATTTGGTATGGTCATGTGTTGTACTTCACTTATGGCGCCTATCGATTTTGGTTGCCATGGCAACAGTATTGGCCGAATAGTATGCAAATTAGTGGCAAAACATAAAGATTTCATTGTGGGCGCAGTACAGGCTGCAATTTTTGACCGATTACTTTTATATTTGGTATGGACATGTGTTATACTTCACTTATGACATCTATTGATTTTTGTTGCCATGGTGACAGTATTGGCCGAATAATGTGCAAATTTGTGCTGAAACATACACTCTTCCTTGTGGATGCTGCACAGGCTGTAACTTTTGACCGATTACTTTCATATTTGGCATATACATGTGTTATACTTCACTTATGACACCTATCGATTTTGGTTGCTATGGCAACAGTATTGGCCGCATAATACACTCATTAGTGGAAAAACATAGAGATTTCCTTGTGGATGCAGTACAGGCTGCAAGTTTTGGCCGATTATTTTCATATTTGGAATGGACATGTGCTATACTTCACTTATAACACCTATCGATTTTGGTTGCCATGGTGACAGTATTGGCCTAATAATGTGCAAAAAAGGGGAGAAGTGGGCTTTCAGGGGCTACACCCATGCAGTCACAGCCGACCAGACTGTCTAGTTCAGTTTTAATTTTAACTTAACAATCCGTCCTAACTTTTTCTGAGTTGGGGTTGAACATGCAGAACCTCAATTCCAAAAAAGTTTGCACATTATGGAAAATGCAAGTACAGTCAAGAGGGAGTGAAAAGCCCATTCACCAAACTGGACCCAAGATGGCAAGGACACCCAAGGCTGTTATCAGCTTCAGATCCAAAAGCCAGTGTTTGTCATGGTATGGGGGTGCTAGACCAGTGTTTGTCATGGTCTAGCTAGCTGTCCTGATTAGTCTCCACTTAAGGATGTATGGCACAGTATGAAGCCAATGAAGGTTCCATGCAAATGTGCAGCAGAAGACCTGCATAGTAAGCCTGTTCCGAGCCTAGTAGCCCATCAGGCTGGTGCTTAACCCCGGTTTCTGTGGCATGAAGCGACTAGGAGTATTGCTACTCCCCCTGGATGGGATGCTAGTCCATCGCAGGTACTCCCCCAGCTCTTCGTCAAGTTTCCATGACAATTTGTTGGTACCCATTTATACACCTGGGTGGAGTGAGGCAGTGTGGGAGTGAAGTGTTTTGCCCAAGAACACACCGTGCAGGCCGTGGCAAGGACTCGAACTCAGGACCTTTTGATTTCAAGTCAAGCCTACTTAACCATTGCACTACCGGTCCCAGAAGACCTGCATAAGTCTAGCAAGCTGGAATTTTTTTGCCATATGCAGATGACCTGACTTAACCGACTGACGTCTTCAGTGCCCAAACACTAAATGTGATTAATTGACATGATAAAGAATCAACTCTGCCAACTTTTCTGGACTCTGTTGACGTCTTTACAATTAAATTCACCAGTTAGAACATTAAATAATGTGTTGTCTCACTGTTTTCAATGGAGAAGAGTGAATGGACTTTTCAGAACGGCTTTTTAAATTTTATTTGCATTTTCTAAGACGTGTTATTTTTTTCATGAGTAAGGTTGTTGAAAAGTAGTTATCAAACAGCATGATTATGAAAGCAATCACTATCATGTTCACATACAATGTATTGTAAAGCTTTTAACTCATTCCCTATGGAATGCTTTTGTATAAAATTGTCGCGTTTGTACAGAATTTTTTCCCCGAAACTTACACAATATATTGAAGTACAGGTGGCCCGTGACCACAATTGTCAACTGATTTCGTGTTTTCATCGGTCTGCGAATGGTCATCCAAGCCACTGGCACCGGCTTACGGTAGGGAATGGTAGAATTCGCTGCGTCGTTGGCATCACTCTTTTGCAGTGATGTGTGGATTCTTCTGAGCATTTCTCACCAGATCTCGGGCCATTCTATCCGAAATTTTTCTTGGTCTTCCAGATCTTGCCTTGACCTCAATTGTTCCATTTATTTTCCATTTTCTTACAATGTTTCTGACAGTAGAAATGGGTAGTTTAAAACGTTGCGAAAGTTTTTTGTAGCCCCTCTCCTTGTTGGTGGAAGTGAATTGTCTTGATTTTGACATCCGTGGACAACTGTTTAGAGGAACACATGGTTTTTAACACCAGACACCACAGTCGGATACTTTAGAAGGCATGGAGTTACTTCAGAATATATAGTTCAACCCTGGAATTATATTCACCTGACTGATTGAAGCCCTAACGAATAAATCACCTGGGTCTGGGCCTTAGCAATTATCTTCTTAAAAGGTAAGAAAGAATAATTCAAAAAGTTTCCCGAACTTTTCCACAGGGCCCTTTTTCCTTTCTTATCATTTAGAAACTCAGAAAAATTCAAATAAAAAGAAACCTTGCATTTAAATTTGCAGAAAGCTGTCATGTTTAACTTTGTAGCATCTAGTGTTCAGGTTTACTTTCAATCACTTGGAGATTAAATGTAACAGGCATTTAAATCAGGGGTGCCCAAATTTTTGCACCCCACTGTAACAGGTGATGCTATCACAATTGGCAATAAAATAAGCATCCTTGAATGGCTTGATTGTCTTCGAGTGAGGATGGCTCAAGGTTCATCAATTTGCATAAAACTGCGAGAAAAAATATGGCAACAGTGTATGAACAATTTATGTCGAATCAGGATTTCCACTCTACATTCCATAATGTTATGAAAAGATCCAGATAATCCAGAGAAATTTATGTGCATTAAGGGCCAGGCAAAAAATGTAATGCCAGTGATCTTCAAGCCCTTAGCTAACCCTGCCTTAAAAAAATGACGTGCATCAATAACGAATGTATTCATGTGGTCCCGTGAATATTTTGGGAAATTGTAGTAGTTGCTGTGCAAGTTAAAATGCTGCATAAAAACCAAAGCCATATACCAACAATGTCCAGAAATGCTGGGCGTGTGACAAACCTGGGACCCAGAACAGGCGCAGACGAAGGATCAGTTTCACAAGCTTTATTTTAATCAAGTTCAAAGTCAAACCATCTGGTTCTTTGCCAATCAGGAAGATTGCAGTGCAGAAAGGAAAGACAGGATCAGTGTCAATGTGACAATGAGTTAAATACCAGGTGAGCAGAATGCAGTTCCAGGGACCAGGCAAAATCATTAACCGCGGACGGGCAGAGAATCGTAACCAATAAATAATTTGTCACTTAAGGCAATCCAAACTCGAAAAACCGCAGGACAAAGAGAATCAAAACTGGGAAATCAAGCGCATAATTGGTACCTCGGCTGAGAGGCAGACTCGCACTGGAGACAAGGAACTGAGAACTTAAATGGCAAACAAATCACTGGGAAAGGAAGTGTGTGGAAAACGGGGGGGTGGGGGGTGGGGTGAGACTAACAAAGCAAACGAGGAAATTAATAAACAGTGTGTGGAGGACAAGTGCAAAGCAACAATGAAAACAAAGACATGCAGAATGGACAGTTATGAAAGGCCAATAACAGCTGAGGGGGAATAAATACAAGAAATTTAAAATAAAAACATAAACTAAAAATATAGCCGCAAGCGGCAATTCCGGGGTTCAAGCCACGAAAGACCATTAGTAGTTGAAAGCTCTAACAGCTTAATTAACAAGTGTTGCCACTAAACGTGGCCATGTCCCCCGCCAGGTGACGGAAATCGACTGGGGTCAGCATATCACAAAATTACACATTGAAGCCAAAGATGAATTAAATTGGTCAAAGCGTTCTCGAGATTTCGCGTTCACAACAAATGGGACGTGACGGACGGATGGCCGGACGGCCGGACGGATGGACTGATGGAGCTGAATACTATGTCCCCCGGCCTTAATACTCCTTGACCCCAAGGATGAATGGAATCGGTCAAACCGTTCTTGAGATATCGCGTTCACAACAAACGGGATGGGACGGACGGACAGCCGGACAGATGGAGCTGAATTCTATATCCTCCGCCCCTTATACACCTTGACACCAAAGATGAATGGAACCGGTCAAACTGTTCTTGAGATATCATGTTGACAAGGTATTTGTAAGTGGTCAAATAGTCGTAATGACCTTGAGAATAATGGCAAGGTCACGTAAATCGAGTGAGTTGTGAGCACCCGCCTAATACACCTTGACACCAAAGATGAATGGAATCGGTCAAACCTTTCTTGAGATTTCGTGTTCATAACAAATGGGACATGACGGACAGACAGACGGGCGGACCCCCACCCCTAATACACTTTGAAACCAAAGACGAATGGAATCGGTCAGACCTTTCTTGAGATATCACGTTCACAACAAACGGGACATGACGGACAGACGGACGGGCGAACGGAGCTGAATACTATGTCCCCCGCCCCTAATACACCTTGACATCAAAGATGAATGGAATCGGTCGAACCGTTCTTGAGATATCACGTTCACAACAAACGGGACATGACGGACAGACGGACGGGCGAACGGAGCTGAATACTATGTCCCCCGCCCCTAATACACCTTGACACCAAAGATGAATGGAATCGGTCGAACCGTTCTTGAGATATCACGTTTACAACAAACGGGACAGGACGGACAGACGGACGGGCGGACAGAGCTGAATACTATGTCCCCCGCCCCTAAAACACCTTGACATCAAAGATGAATGGAATCGGTCGAACCGTTCTTGAGATATCACGTTCACAACAAACGGGACAGGACGGACAGACAGACGGCCGGGCGGATGGATGGAGCTGAATACTATGTCCCCCGCCGCTAATACACCTTGACACCAAAGATGAATGGAATTGGTCAAACCGTTCTTGAGATATCATGTTGACAAGGAATTTGTAAGTGGTCAAATGATCGTAATGACCTTGAGAATAATGCCAAGGTCACGGAAATCTACTGGGGTCGGCGTATCACACAAATATACCTTAACACCAAAGATGAATGGAATCGGTCAAACCGTTCTTGAGATATCGCATTCAGAACAAACGGCACATGACGGACGGCCGGGCGGAGCTGAATACAATGTCCCCTGCTCCGCTCGCTATCGTGGCGGCAGGGGACAAAAACCACTTTAAGAGTGTGTTGCAGGTTTTCATGTGGACCTATTTTGCCAGTGTAATGATTGGACTAACAACTAATGATGCATAGTCTGATTTGTGTTATGTTAGGATATTTTGTGCATTTATGGCACCCCCTACTGGTCAATTTGATTGAAACTTGGCTTGGCTCGGTTGTTGAATTTTGTCCATTTTTGTGCTAAGCCACGCCCCTGCTGAAGTTCATTGGTCAATATCTTGGAAATGAAATGAGATTTCAACAAGCTTTATGCAATCTTTGATAAGCTTGGTCCACTGATGATCCACAGCAAATTTCGAAGGAATCGGACCTACGGCCTAGGAGGAGATGTCAAAAATGTGTTTTTCAAAGAATTCAAAATTTCGGAAAATCAAATATGGCGGGTCTTAGAGGTCCTTATGGGAAAGTTGTAGAGAATGGACCAAAGAATGTCTGTACTAAGTTTCGTGTGAATCGGACTTACAGGCTAGGAGTTATGACCTTTAAAAGTGAAAACCTGTTTTTCTTGAATTATAGCGCCACCATCAGGCCTACTGAATTAAAAATGCCTTGGTCAGCATTTACACACAACTTCCAACCAATCTGCAAAATTTCAGGTCTCTACCATTTACCATCTCACGGGAATTTGCGAAAACATTTCTGAAGAAGAAGAAAAATAATAATAATAATAATAATAATAATAAACCAGCACAAAAACAATAGGGTTTCAGCCCTACGGGCTTGAACCCCTAATAAACAGATTATGGAACACTAATGACTTGAACACATCTAGGATGCAAAATGGTAAAGCATGCTGTGGTCCGAGGAATCCACGTTTCACATTGCTTTTGGATATAATGGAAGTTGTTTTCTTAGGGCGAAATAGGAAGGGACCAACCTAATTTTTGCCACAGTTCAAACCCCCACATCCATCATGGTTTGGGGGTGTGTTAATGTTGATGGCAGGTGTATGCTCATCAGTGAAGGCTCTATTAATGCTGGAACATATGTAAGTATTTTGGGGCTGCATCACACTGTATTTAGCAATCCAGATAATGTCCTTTCCAGCTGCGCCCCTGCTTATTTCAGTAATACAATGCCAAGCCACTTTCAGCACGTGTAACAACAGTATAGGTTCGTAGTCAAATACTGCAGATACAAGACTAGCCTGCATGCAGTCCAGACCTGTCTTGCATTTAAAACGTGTGGCACATTATGAAGTGCATGATATGACAGTGACGACCCCATACT